TTTGGTCCGACCTAATCTGAATTTTTAAGATTTGCTATGATTTAAGTAAAATAAAAATAAACAATAAGCATTAAAAATAAAAAGAATAATTGCAAAGCTTCTAGGAAAGAGATTCAACTAAGTATGTTTTTACTTGAATGGAATATTTATAGTCTGGTCTGATCTGGTATACGGCTTATTATTGTGTATTTTACAACTATCCAAGTCTGATTTTGTCTGGTCTGATTTAGTCTAGTCTGGTCTGTTCAGATCTTGGACAGAAAACAGTCCAAGTAAAAACATCATTAATCCTTGCACACAAAGAGAACAACGATCGAGTTTTATTCATAATAAAGAATATTAATTATATTAATATTGATCATAATAATAATACTAATAATAATAAAATTTAGAAAAAAGTTGAATTTTCTTCTTGTACGTAACACATAACGTGATGTATGTGGAGGAAAATTTTAGAATGAAAAATTAAGTGAAAACATTGAATGAAAATCAAACCAATCACATGCATAGAATAATTAACATGCCAAAGTCACATAAATAATGTTCGGAACCAAACGTTTGGGTTATAACAGAGTTAAAGGAGGAAACATAAAGACTATGATGAATGGTACAATTACTAAAAACAATTGTACAAGTGTATATTGCTTAGTGTTACACCAACATTTTTATCATTCCTAAAATACCCTAACCATCATCGGTGTTTATAAGTTTTTAGATATACGTATTACATCACATAGTAAGAGTTGAGCTTTTGTGAGCTTAATAAGTGAAATAGATACATGAGAAAGACAGAATTGCATTGTTTTCTTTCCGGTGGCTGATGAAATCTAAACAAATTTTGCACTTGACCCTTTATCGGCGGTTGGCAAAACTGGAAAGTTTGATAGTTCATTTTTGGTGACTGATCTCACAGTGAGAGTAGTTTACATCGTTTGCATGGTTAGCCGATTACGAGTATTTTATAGTTTTTTTAACCCCGTATAATATTGGCAGCTGCCCCCAATAAAGTGCTAATAATTACCTAGAATATATTAGGAAAAAATTCAGTCTAGCAATTTGCCCCCAATTAAAAAAATTAAATGCCCCCAATACCCACCCACCCAATTCCAGTCAATCCAAATAAGCCCAATGCAGCGGTGTACTCAAACATTTCAGTTTTTGTAAATAGGGAATTCTAAAGCCTAAAAATAGATCAATTAGTCAGGCATCACAGTAAAGAACTATCGGTTATGGGCTTATGGCTAGACTGATGAAGAACTGAAGCTAGTGGCGTTACAATCTGTAAAATTAGGTGTTAAAGTGTTCAAAGGTTATTGTGCAGATTTAGGTGTTAAAGTTTTTAACGGTTAATGTGTGCAGATTTATAATTTATTCATCAAGCCCTATTTTGATTATGTTTAGATATAATTAATAGACAATACGGAGTATAATTTATCCTAATTTATAGAAGTGTCAGTGCTGCAACTTACTAACTTTAGTAAGTTAGAATTAACAATCTAAATTTTACAACTAGCTATAAATAGTATTACTATTTAAGAATTAACAAAGCCATATAAAATATAATTTTTACATGGCTACCACACTAGTAGAAGATTTGAAATACATAAAGAGCCAAAAGAGTACATTAGCTATGAAAAATTAAGTACACTTTTTAACAGATTTGTGGACAAATTCTTAATTAATCACCCTCCTTAACACCGAGAAGTTTAAGTTCAAATGTGTGCAATAGTACTTGTCCATGTGCTATTTCAATTGCTCAAGAATCGGTGATCAGTTTCAGAGTGATTGTCTTGTTTGCTTTATAAAAGGATATGTATTTGAAACTTACACAAATGAAACTATAATAGTATAATAGATCTTTTTCAAAAGATGAAAACTCGAACAGACCAGTTGTGATTTACTTTGAGGATTTTTTGAAATTGTAAAATACTTTATTTAGTTTGAAAATTCTCGTGTGTTTTGTTACAATATGTTACTATTCGGATTATTATATTACGTATTGTATTTTCTTCGTCATTTATGTCATTGATGATCTGCCCCCAATACTTCGGAGTTCTGGATCCGCCACTGATATTGATCGATATGATTGTAATGTTTCAATTTTTGATTATTATGTTTCTTCATACTATTAGCAATAATACGTTATTTGTTTTGAAAAATTGAATTCAATTGAATCAAATCAATTTAAACCTTGTAAAGTTATGAATTTTCATTTGCAATTTAACAAAAGTGAAGAGAATACATGCCAAAAGGGATTCACAATAGCGCCACAATGTTTGCTGTAGAAACATTGAAGTTCTTGGACGTTGAGTTGACAAATGGAACGGCCTGTACCGGCACGCACGTGCGTATCACACCCAGATCACATGATTCGGTGAACCGTTCAACCCAACCAGGACCTGACACCAAACCCACCCCCCACTAGATACCCCCAACTCGACCCGACGAATCCTCTCACCTCGCCCCGCCCACCTCACCGGATCCATGGCCGCCGTTGAAGATCACGCCGTCTACAACGAGGGAGACATCGACGACGAGGACGACGAGGAGAGTCTAGATCGGACCCGAAACGACGCCGCTATGGATGAAGACGACGACGACGACGAGGACGTCGAGGATTATTCCACTTCCTCCTCCAACCTCGCCGCTCCAGATCCCCTTCACATCTCTTCCGCTCACCCTGCCCCCCGGGCCCTGGCTTCTTCCGGCGATGTAACGATCGCCGTCGCCGGTGTGAACTGCGATCCGGGTTACCTCAATTTGAAGCCGCACCGGGCCGATAACGTTTCTGTGGCTGCGACCTCGCTCACCGTCTACGAGGAGAAGAAGCCACCTGCTGCCTTCGACGATTCCAGGAAGCTGTTCCAGCGGCTCTGGACGGACGAGGACGAGATCGAATTGCTGCAAGGGTTCCTGGAGTACACGACGCATCGCGGCGCGATTAATTCGTCGCACCACCACGATACGACCGCTTTCTATGACCAGATCAAGAACAAGCTGCAGCTGGAATTCAACAAGAACCAGCTCGTCGAGAAGCTCCGGCGGTTGAAGAAGAAGTACCGGAACATCGTGAGCAAGATCAGCGCTGGAAAAGATTTCGTCTTCAAAAGCGCCCACGATCAAGCTACCTTCGAGATCTCGAATAAGATCTGGAGCAACGGCGGCTCTGCCGTGCGCGGCGGCGGCCCTGTGCTGTCCCTGCCAGCTGTGGAATCAGGCGGGTTTGAAGAAGAGTATGCAAATCCTTACCCTAACCAAAGTTCCAGCATCAATGACCATAGCCCCAATCTTAACTCCAATTCCGTGGACCCTAAAACAACACCACGCTCAAGAAAAAGGTTGAGAGTAGGTGCTGCCGTGAAAGTGGAAGAAAAACAAGGGTTGATTAGTGAACAACAATGTCAGCCATCACCCAGTGTCACTGTAGTGACACCTCCTATTCCTATAGCAAACAACACCCCCACCCCCACCCCCACCCCCACTGCAGCGCCAGCTACTTCTCAGACTGTCACGGCTACTCAGATTCCAAGTTTGATTGAGGAAACTGTCAAAAGTTGCTTGTCTCCTATATTCAGAGAGTTACTGAGCAGTGTGACTCGTTTGAATGGGGGCTCGAGAGGGTTCGGATTTGGAATGGCATTAGGCCCGGTACCACTCGGTTTCGGAGGAGAGGGAGGAGGGCTTTCAATGAGTGCTGAAATGATGGCTGATGAGAAGTGGAGGAAACAGCAAATGCTAGAGCTGGAGGTATATTCAAGGAGGTTAGCTTTGGTGCAGGAACAAATAAAGGCTCAATTGGATGAGCTGAGATCAATGGGAAGCTGATGATGGAGTAAAGGTTGTATTTTTAAATTATTAATTAATAATTTATTTATAAATCTGCAGTAGGTCGTAAACTTTATCCATTGTTGACAATGGCTGAAAGATTAGCGGGGCATTCTGATACCTGTTTAGATTTTAACGGTGGCTGTTATAAATAACGAGTTTAGTTCTGTATTTCCTGGCTTGTTTTGAAAGTTCATAACTTTGTGCAGATAGATGCTTGACATGTATATGGGAATGGATACGGTAAAAGTGAGCCTTTTTATGTTCTGCGAAGACAAATTTTCAATCTTTTAAAGTTATAATGTGATATGTGCCTGTCATTACCTTGTTTGATCTTTTCATCAATATTTTGATTGGCTTGTCTGTGAAGCTCTAACACAGTGTAGTAGTCAGTATCGTATTTGATATATTCCTCTCTGATAGCTTCCATGTGGAGTCAACTTTTTGTGTATAGAAAGTTACTTGAAATGTGCATGGAAATTGTTCTCATAAGAGCTTCAAGCTACTACGTATGAGAGAGGCATGACAAATAATAAACATAAATATATCCAGTTTAAATAAATGTTGTATTTTCATCATCATTTTCTTTCCTTCCGGATGTCTGGTTACTCTGGTATAGTTTTCTTCTTTATTTTCCTTTCCTATCATTTTTAAGGGTATGTTTGAGTCATGGAAAATGCTACTGATAGGAAAACAAAAAAAATTCTATACTTGAATCATAGAAAATACTACTGATTACTGAAAGAAAAACAAAAAATTGTTTACTTGAGTTTTCCTTTGTCTCGAAAAATCAAAGAAAAACGCGTGTTTTATTTATCTTTTTTGCATTTATTGAATATATTTATTGAGTTGGTAAGAGTATCATTTTAATTCCTCCAGTTTCTATACTTCCAAAGTTCCAATTGTGCCCTCTTTTTCTGTACTATTTTCCGGGTTCCAAGAGACCGTACATGATTTCAACGATTTTTTTTATAGCTAGAATGTATTCTGCTCGTAGGCTCCTTACAGGCTTACAGTTGAGATACTTGAATAAGATTAACCACCTGACAAAAATAAATCCAACAAAAATGAGATAATTGCATCGTGTTCCGCCACCTCAATTCCTCAACAATGATCAATGAGGGCTACATATCATACGAGATAAATTCTCTGATTTCAAAGCTTGCTGCTCTGTAAAGCGATTATTTTTAATATCTGAATGAAGCAGATCTCATATTTGCAAGAGATTGAGAGAAGCTTAAAGTGAAATATTATGAAATTGACAATTAAAGAAAAACCCCACACTTTATTGTATTGTACTCAACAAATGTATATATTCAATTTAAATGCAATTTGAATTTCACTATCCTGATTCTTTTTCAAATGTGTAAACTTTGGATATTTAGTATCATTATAATGTCAAGGGAAGATAAGATTGTTTTTTGGAAGATGGGCAGGGGGCTGCCCCTTTTGATCAATAAAGAGTGAACTTTGTTTTTGTCTTCTCGAACACTTGCTCTGCAATAATGGCCCCATTGCCATCAGCCCTCTTTATCTCCAAGTTAGCCTTTTGATAGACACCAGTTCCTCTTAGAGCATCTGCAATAAAGTCATCAAATCCAATGGCAATGGCAGCTTCAGCTTTGGCTCCATAAACAAGCCTCTGCAATACAAATATCGGATGAAATCAGAATTGTATAAATAAACATGGCAGCCATGAATTTACTTCGATGAAGAGCTGGAGAAAAAGGGAAAAAAGGGGAGGAAGTTTGACCTTAATTCGTGAAAGATGTATAGCACCAAAGCACATTGGGCATGGCTCACAAGAGGCATACATTTCACAGTCTGATAGCTCAATGCGGTTCAGCTTTTTGCATGCCTGAAATCAGCAGGATAAGGAGAAGCTATTTTAGAGACAAGACATGAAGCACCAGTGCTCCCCAATAGTTATGAGCACGGTGACTGAAGAAGTCATTAATAGCATAACCACACCAACTTATAAATATGATACAATGAGCAACACAGATAACAGTACTTACAGCAATTATGCTTCTTTAGCACTCATAACAGACAAGGACTTTGATTGATAGAGCTTTTCAATAGTTATCAAGGCCATAGAGAATAAGTTGAGAGACTTTCAATGTTTTAGCATACATAAAATAAATAAGACACGTCAAATTATCTAGCCTCATCATCATTATCATTGCCCAGAGCCGCAAAGGCTCCCACCTAAGGTGGGGTAAGGGAGGTTGGATGTACGCAGCCTTACCCATGTACTAAAGCATGGAGAGGCTGTTTCCGGATGACCCATAGTGAAAATCGCGTAAAAAATTACATGGACTGGCTGCTGCTTCATAACAAAGAAGCGCGACCAGTTTAGTGAGCCATTTTGCTCTATTCCATCATATTCCATCATATTCCAAGCCAAAAAATAGTGAGTCTTTGGCTCCGTTGCAAAAAATTATCTAGCCTAAAAGCTTAATGTAGTTTGTGTCAAACACATCAGCAAGCAAACATGAAAGCACCATGTCACATTCGGGAAGGGGTGATAATGGCAAAACAACCTCAGATGAAAAGCAGTCACAATGCCTTTTAGAAATAGAGTAGTCATTTTCTCCACACATTTTAACCCCTTATTTGGTTGGAGATTTTGAAGAAGAGGCATGGGGATGATTGCTATGTAATTTATTAAAATGTTTGTATAACAGATGGCCGTGAAGAAAGTTGAGATGAAAAGCCAACATGTATTAGCCCAGTGGCCCTCCCGTTTCAAGAGGGCAACACAAGATCTAACCTCGTAAACAAGACCAAATCTCACCAGGCCTTTCATATTGTGATGCTGTTGTGATTGCCTCGCTCTGCAATGTGCAGGAGTTATTTAAATTGGACCACTTCTGGAAGGACTGAAGAAGTATACACATAAACACTATGTGAGACTAGGGTTGTTAACGAACCGAGCTTTTATCGAACTATTCGAGTTCGAGCTCGGTTTCGAACCTAACGAGCCGAGCTTAACGAGCTTTCGAACTCGAACCCGAGCTGAGTTTTAAGTTCGAAATATTAATCGAGCCGAGCTTAACGAGCTTTTGAACTCGAACCCGAGCTGAGTTTTAAGTTCGAAATATTAATCGAGCCGAGCTCGAACATAGTAGTATTAGGCTCGGTTCGAACTCGAGCCTATCGAACACCCTGAAATTATAAATATAATTTATATATAATAAAAATTTAAATATAATTAGTATGATTTTAAGCATTTAAATATGTTTATTAACGAACCGAATACTTGTCGAATCATTCGAGCACGAGCCTATTAACGAGCATCACCTAAAATTTTAAAATCGACCATATTTATCGAGCTTAACGAGCGCTCGGTTCGAACATCGAACGCCTATCGAGCCGAACACGAGCCTCATATGTAAAGCTCGCCGAGCTTCGAGCTCGAACCCGAACACCATTAATTCCTTATCGAGCCGAACTCGAGCTTTAGGTGTTCGGGCTCGGCTCAGCTCGTTAACACCCCTATGTGAGACCTAGTGAGTAATGTCCTGCTATTAAACCCAACAATGATACAGGAGTAAGTGCATGTGAAGGCTCTCAGGTTTGGGATGTAAACATTTTATGTTGTTGAATTGTGATCGACTTCTACTTTTTGGTAGAGGGGTGTTTGGAAGGGGAGAGATTGATCTGATAGCAACACTATTGCTTACTACTAAACCAAAACAACATAAATTGCCATTTTCTCCTACAAATTATCAAGTGAGCCAGTCAAGTACGGCAATTTGCATAAAGTCCCTTACCCCCCTAGGAAGAGTATGTAAAAGGAAACTCTTTGTCCAGTGACCAATGCTATGGCTGATTGAGGAATGTTTGATATCGAATGTTGTATACATTAAACCACAAAATGAATAAACCCCCACTGTACAATCAGCATCTATTCCTCTAATCAGAACAAAACTACCACACCTAGCTTACCTCGCATTATATTTGTATATCAATATAAGAAGGGTGTTGTATACCTCATGCAATTAAGCTAAAAAGCACTTCTAGGTTATCTCTAAATACCGTATGAGAACATCCAGATTCAGCGACACCTTCATGTTTACCAGCTCACAGAGAAAAAGTTTCCCTAGTTCATTAGTTGGAAGGCTCGCCCAAGATATGAGCACATATGGGTATATGAAGCTGGCTAGGGTTTAAGGACTAAAACCTTCTCACATAAAGGTCCAACACAGAATTTGAAATTTTGTGAGCGAGCTAGGATCTTATATTCACTACATTGGGGTATGGGGTGTGGAAGACCTATTGGTTTTCTGAATAGTGAGAATGAACAATCAGGCAGAGTGTGCACCCATGTGTGCGTGCCTAATTTTTCTCATTTTTACACGTTTTCCAGCGCGTCCACCAATTACTAACATGCATTCATATAATTATCCATATGTTGATGTGCGCGCCCACCAATTACTACATATACTCCTATTGTCCCACAATGTTTGAACTATCATCATCAAAGTTGTCGAGCCAACTTAAATAAGTCACTTGATAGTTTGAATTAAATTTAAAATTTCTATCAAAATGCCACAACATTTCTATTTTTGCTTGTTATTTCATGGGTAACATAATTAAGATTCATCCTTCTGTAATCTTTAATATGACCATTATTCTATGGGATCTCTATTTCAGGTATGGAAAGGCGAGTGAAGAGACAAACTTACCTTTACCTTTTACCCTTTTCCATTTACTTAAATGCCTCTACTTTATGGTAGAAAGGGCAAAATAGTAAAGCCAAACTTAATTTATTACCACCCTTAATTTTTGTATCAGTCAACTTTTGCAATTCAAATTGCGACGGAGGGAGTACTTTGGTTGATAAGTTTCATACTATCCTCCGTTCCATAATTCTTGCAACAGTTTGACTTTCACGTTTGCCAATGTACAACTTTGACTGTAATTATATTTAATTATGTATTAGTAAACATTATAAAAAGTTGATATTTTGGAAATTCACATTGATAAGAGTTCAATAACATTTTATACGTAATAATTTGATTATGTATATTAGTAGAAAATCATGGTCAAAGTAAGATCTGTGAATAGTGTAAAAATCACAATGTTGCAAGAATTATGGAACGGAGGAAGTATTTAAGAACACATTTTTAGCTTTGCTTATAGCCAGATATAAACACTCACCTGAATTTAGTACGGAGTATTTTATGCAAGTACCAACTCTGGGTCAAAATGATCACGACACTATAGCAGTACGACTTTGAATCTAAGAGTTCAAAATCATACACCGTGAATGATTTTTGTAGTAATCATCAAAGCTGCCCCCCTTGCCTCTGGAATATATAATTCAATATATTGCAGTCAAGTAGAACTTGGCTACTGTAATAAATTTAGACCATGTGTACTCTCATTATATAATAGGGCAACAGTTACAATTAAATGTAAGTGATAATTTCAATATAAAACCTCAGAGAGTTTTGGGATCTCAAGAGAGGATGAGGAGTACAACAGTATGGACGGTTTGTGAAGATGTGCCTAGGAAGCTTTGACATTAAGCAAAGCATCTTGAGATTTCAATAGTAAAACTGGACTTTAATGCATTACGTGGCAGCTGTCACCGCAGCTCTACCGAAGGTAGGGGTGATCGTGGTTTTACATTTACGGAAAGTTGACCCAAAATAAGACAATACATCAGAATGGTCTCCAAGACTAGTTAACCGTTAAAATGTACTTTTCTTCACAACAGGATACGTTACAAAAAAGGCCATAATACCATGTTAAAATCGGGAAAAGATTTGCGCCACTTGATCACCAACTGAGCTTACATACAAACACAACACAAGCTGAAACTTTGCATAGGAATGGAAGACAAACCTCTCTTATAGCGGTCACCTCTGCATGAGCAGTAGGGTCAGTATTGTTCAGCACCATGTTGTGGCAACTAACAAGAACTTCTTCATTGCAAACAACAACAGCACCAAATGGGCCTCCGTGTCCACATTCTACACCTTTATACGCTTCTTCAACTGCCCTTGTTAAAAATTTATGATCTCTATCCTGTACAGCTGGTAGAAATAACCAACACAGATGAAAAAGGATTACTGATCTACACATAATGCATGTGTAAGTACAGAGTATCAAAATTTCATTACTGATAACCGTTTCCTATATTTCCAAAAATCAAAGTGAATACATATAAGTGATATAACAGCCATCTGTACTTGTAGATCTACCCAAATGTAAGATAATACGGAAAATGTATACTCACCTGCCTAACTTGTAATGTCTAGATGCCATTTTAGTTATTAAAACCATTAACAACAAAAAATACTACCGCCATTCCAAAAACAAGGCCATGTTTGACCAATGTACACCTACTTGATTTTCATAAGGTACAATTACCCTATAATATCTCTCTGTGCTTTAGTACAGGGGTAAGACTGCGTACATCCGACCCCCCCTTACCCCACCGTAGGTGGGAGCCTTTGCGGCACTGGGGTAAATGAAAATGAAAATGAAATGACAATTACCCTATAATATGAAGGCATGAATCATACTTATACTTTTTGAACATATTTGTTGGTTTAATTAAACTTATCATGTGTAAATTGTATGTGTTTTTTTTTCCGGAATTTACATGAAATATTTGTTTCGTTTGATCAGAATCATCAGATATGATTTTTTGGGAACAATAATGGATGGATAAGAAGATGTTTTCAAACAATCGTGAATCACCAGCGGTAAGATGATGCACGATGAGTAATGAAATGAGTACACCCACTCGTCCGGAAATGATAGATAATGAGAACTGAGGATAGGGTACTAAGGTTACCTTCCTGGTGGCCTGCAAATGCAGTGGCAACTGAGATAGTTCCATCCTTGGCTTCAACAACTGATGGACAGAGAAAGAGAGAGGCTTTAGAAGGGTTATGATTTTTTAAAAGAAAGAGTAAAACTAAGGAAAACTGGAGTAACAATTGCACACTTCTGCCAACTCAAATTCAAAGCGAAACAAAAGTACTTTCAATGGAAGGATAAAGGAAAATACAAGCATGCAAAGAATATATTTTCCTACTCCTATCTCTACACTGTACCTGTAGACTGTAAACATTTCCCTGTGACGAAAGTAACAGTTTACCACCTACCAGATTAGCTTAAGGCACAGTAAGTTGTGATCAGAAGTTCAGAGCATAGGAACCCACAGAAAGCAAAATCAAATTTTATGGCTATATGTGCTCAAATATCCATGCATAGCAGAAAATTCTAGGCAATAACAGATCCATGACTAGCAATATAGAACCAACTAAAGTGCCGCATCCATTTGTGGAGCAAGAACATATTTGGGACAACATACAATCTAGATGATAAGCTGTCATTTATGTTGTAAGTTGCCAAATCTATAATCAACCTACTTTTTTTCCAACTATTTTCCAACCTCTTTTATTTACCTACTAAAAGGTACTTGAAATCTTTTTGTTGCATGATTGAAATTCATGACTTCAATACCATGTTTCACCAAACATTACCCAATAAAAAGTGATTCTAATGACAACACACTGTAGCAAAACGGATTATACATAGACTCATTTAATTGAAATAATCTAATATTCCCAGCTTTTTTAGACAATTTAATACTATTTTGTAGCCAAAATTGGCGTATTTGATTACTACTTTTAGAGTTCTATAATATGTAGCTTTTGACTTACTTATTTGGTTTAAGGGATTCTAGAGAAAGCTTTCTATTCCATGACTTTCAGAGATTCAGCCATATAACGCAACTTACTCTCACCATTAAACTGGCTATAAATCTTGAATAAAATGTGAAAATATTAACGAAAATTCCATAATCTATACTAATCCAGGTGTTAGCAGGAACATGCCAAGTATCGATGTCTCATTTCAAATATCAAACAAAATCTCACTACAAGATCGGGCTAAAGAAGCCTGGGTGCACCGAAAATCCAAATTCTTGACACTCCAGGAGATCCAAAACTATGAAAGACGGAGCGCAAAAGTGACAGGTCCACACTCTCGATAAGGTAACCAAAGAAAATTCAGAAAATGACCCCCTTAATAGCAGAAAGATATTGAGCCCGCATAATATCAGAAAAATCAAGGAACCTTACCCTTGGCTTCTTCCATATATGAACGAATGCTCTCAGATAGTCGGATGTCAGAGGGGAAGGGTAGTACATAAACTAGTAATGGAATTATCAACTTCGGAGTTAGGAAATAGATCAAGATGTCCGTATGGACCTCATCTTTCCCTCAAATCATATCTATTACGAGTATTTTCCAGTAGTTTGACTTGAGGATGGAAAAAATTAGGTAACTCTTAATAAATACGTAGTACGTAGTAAGAAGTAATTTTTTTGGGTTCAAATTTATTTGGTCGATGTAAACATGTAGGAAAAAATGGCCCATCTATCACGTATGGCTTTTAAAATTCCACAACTATGACCTAATTTTGATTTTCTAGAAATGTGACCCAGGTACGGCATCAACGCGTCTCTCCGCACACCGCACAGTAGCTTCCTCTCCGCGGACGCAAGACACGAACCCCAACAACAAAGCCTCAAGCGGATCCCCACATCCTCACCCGCCGCTGCTCTCCGCCAGGCTTATTCTCTCCGCCGCCACTTCTCTCCGGCCGCCGCCGCTATCTTCTTTTCATTACTTGCTCCAATTGCTACATGTCGTTCTCCTTGCTCGATTGGCGCGCCTCTCTGTCTGATGATGGATGGTTGCCCCTCCGCTGGCTGGTGGCTGCGCCTCTGCCAGCTTATCTGTCGTCCTAGTTGGTGCATGTGGAGCTGGTGTGCGGCGTTGCTAGGTAGATAGGCTTTTATTCCCGGTTAATTGGTTTGAGGAATGGATATAAATCTTATGCGACACTGGAACAGGGAGTTGATTCCATTCCATTGGTTGCTGGATTCTACCAAATTGATTTCATTTCAGTGGGGTAGAGATAGCTGGGGCGGGGCTGGAAGCAAGGAGTGGTTGGTGGAGCTAGTGTGCGCCGTTGCTAGGTGGGATGGGGGCTAGGGATTTCAGATCTGATCGGAGCAGAGGCTGGGGGTGACGCAGGGGAGGGGCTGGGTGATGCAAGGGCTTGTGGTGGTTGTAGTCGTTGGCCGGAGTTGGTGGCTGCCGAAGGCGGTGGCCGGCGGAGGTAATTGGGTGGTGCGGTGGCGGTAATTGAGCGGTGCGGGCGGCGGTGTCACTGTGGCGGCAGCCGGGCAGTCAATATGGCCGTAGTCACTATGGCCGGAGTCAGCAGAGTCATTGTGGCGACATAGTCACTTTGGCGACGCGTCACTGTGGCGGCGGAGTCACTGTGGCGGCGGAGTCACTGTGGCGGCGGAGTCACTATGGCGGTGGGGCAGTCACTGTGGCGGTGGGGTAGTCACTGTGGCGGTGGGGCAGTCACTATGGCCGTTGGAGAGTCACTTTGGCCGGAGTCACTTTAGGCGGAGTCACTTTGGATTGCAGGGGCTAATTTGTTGTTGGTCACATTTTTTGATTTTTTAAAAACGTTTTACTTTTTTGTCTTTTATCTTATTTTTAGTAATATCCGGGCCAAAAGGCCTGCAACATGTAGTGCCTCCTTATTTGAAAGTTTGTACACATAACACATTCCTCAATTTAGGATGTAATTAGAAGGTTGCTACATTTTTTCATTTGGTAAGCTTTTCTTTAAAAAATATTCAACTAACATTATTTTTCTAGTTTTTATCTTTTCTTTTCTATCCTTTTACCTCCTTTCATACTTTTTCTACACTATTCATTAACCTCGTTTCTTCCTCCTTAAATGTTGCACCAAAGTCTAATATAGTGATCTTTTAAATACGAAGGGAGTATTATATTTTGAAGGTATTGTAGACTAAAATCTAATACTTCATTATTAATACATATTTTTCCTCATAAATATATAAATAAAATCTTGTGTTTTAATACGACAAATCCTTCAACAAATACAAATTATATACACCAATTCCTTAAAAACGTGTCAAATTTATCGTGAGAGAGGTCACTCGACCATACTTATGGAAGAGGGGTCACTCAATCCCATCAAGCCTCAAGAGCCAAGCCACCAGAAACCGCCCCCCAAAGCATTAGTATAGCATCAGACACCTCGGTCCCGAGCTCCTCATTTGGGACTCTTCGGCCGATGGGCCACCAAAAGAATCGCCAAAATCACATGTCATCACCATACTAGCGGAAGGTCTGCACCTGTATAATAATAACACATACACAACCCCTTAATACGCCTCTCATTTATTATTATTACTATAAATATTATATAAAAGGCACATATTCCTTTTTGGGTCGTCCCAATATAAAAGACACATTTCCCTTTTTGGCAAACAAAACAGTGCCAAACAGTGTCTAAACAGTGCCTTCCCCCTAAAAATGTTTGAAAAAGCAAATGTGCTCTTTATATTGGGACGGATGGAGTATTGTTTTCTCTCTATATACCTTAGCTTCATTTTCTCTCTAAAATATCACTAGCAATAGCCGGTAAAGTCATACCCCTATTTGTTATAATCTATATAATATAATAAAGCAAACTCATGGAGAGCTCTTTGGAAAAATAATTGACATGTGGCACCATCTTTTGTAGATAAAGTGACATGTGGCAACAACATAAAACAAAAACTATTCAACTTCCAAACTCCGACTCATATGTATTCCAATAAAAAATTAGATAAAAATTTGTGTGTAATATATACTATCTATAAGTTAGGAGTATTATATGGGTGTGTGCGTATTTATGCGTCACAATGTTGTGTATAAATATAGGTAAAAGTTTACACTTGACAGTAGTACAAGAATTGTGTACAAAAAATTTAGCATCTTAAGATAAAAAAATATTTCTCTCATACTTCTTTTCCAATAAAATCGTGCGGGTTTTAAGGATCTTGAAAATTAATAATTATCCTTAAATAAGAATGATTTTGAAAAAAATTATGTGTCATATATATAAGTTAGGAGTATTATTTTTGTGTGTGTGTTTATGCGTCACAATGTTGTGTATAAATATAGATAAAATTTGCACTAGACTGTAGTACAAAAATGGCAAATACTCAAAAATAAAAAATAAACAACAGATTTTAGCCTCTTAAAATAAAAATTATTCCTCTCATACTTCTTTTCCAACAAAATCTTGCGGATTTTAAAGACTGCCTCGCTGATCAATGTAAAAAGTACACATGAAAAAAGATCTTGAAATAATTACCCTGAAATAGGAATGATCTTGAAAAATTATGTGTAATATATATAAGTTAGGAGAATTATACACGTGTGTATTTATGTGTCACAATTTTGTGTATCAGTATAGGTAAAAATTTGTACCTGACAGTAGTACAAAAATTACAAATACTCAAAAATAAAAAATAATTAAAAAAAATTAGCCTCTTAAAATAAAAAATATTCCTCTAATCCTTTTTTTGTTGCCGATTCCTCTCATACTTCTTTTCCAACAAAATCTGGCGGGTTTTAAAGGCTGCCCCGCTGGTCAATATAAAAAATACACATGAAAAAAGATCTTGAAAATAATTACACTGAAATAAGAATGATTTTGAAACAAATTATGTGTACTACATATAAGTTAAGAGTATTATATGTGTGTATTTATGGTCACAATGTTGTGTATAAATATTAGGGGGAAAATTGCACTTGAAAGTAGTACAAAAATTGGAAATACTCAAAAATAAAAAACAAATAACAAATTTTTGCCTCTTAAAATAAAAAATATTCCTCTCATACTTCTTTACCAACAAAATCTTGCGGGTTTTAAAGACTGCCTCGCTGGTCAATGTAAAAAATACACATGAAAAAAGATCGTGAAAATAATTACCCTAAAATAAGAATGATCATGAAAAAAATTATGTGTAATATATATAAGTTAGGAGTATTATATGTGTGTATATTTATGCGTCACAATGTTGTGTATAAATATAGGTAAAAATTTGTACTCGATTGTAATACAAAAATCGCAAATACTCAAAAATATAAAATAAAAAACAAATTTTAGCCTATTACAATAAAAAACTTTCTTCTCATACTTTTTTTCCAACAAAATCTTGCGGGATTTAAAGGATGCCCCACTGATCAATTTAAAAAATACACATGAAAAAATATCTTTAAAAAGATTACCTTGAAATAAGAATGATCTGTAACGATGCACATCATGATTAATGGGGGTGCACACATATAATTAAAACAATGCGTACTTTAAATGGGCAGAAAAGGTGAAACTTATCTACAAAATGTCACCTCGATTTCTGATTTATGGTAGTACACAATTCTATTTCACATAATGAGGAATTGTGAAATCTTACGTTCCAAACTCATTCCCATTTTTCTTATTTAAATCATATTCTCATTTGATCCAAATTATATACGTAGTGTGTATAATGTAAAATTGATACCCCACATTAATATAAAACATAAAAACTCAATCTAAATACATGTACTAAAATCAATTGAATATTCATTAAATTAAATAATGTAATAAAAAATTCTAAAAGCTACTTTATACTTGATTTAAAGCAACACACCCCATTACTCAAACAATTTGAATAAAAGAGGACTAAAAGGACCGACGAAAATATAATGGAACTGTATTTTTTCTTTCTTACTCACTGTTTTTTTACTATTCAATGTTAATATATAATATTACTGTATAATACTATTAAATTATTAAAAACTTGGGGACTCATAAATCGAGGGATCTGTTCTGTAAAACCTATTGAACCTCTTGAAAAATTGATGTGTGTAAGTAGTAATATATAAAAGGATGTATAAGAAATTAGAATACGAACCACACCATAGTTGATAATTTTAATTAAACATTATTATTAAATCATTGTTATATCAATATTTTATAACTAATAGATGACATTTATCAAAGGAACTCATTGTACAAACATTAGGTTATAATTAGATCTTTTGAGTATACAATTTGTAAACAATAATTACTAATTGTCAAAGAAATATTTTCAACTACAAAATAAAAAATATGTAGGAATAATTTATTTGAATGATTATTATAAAAATAGTAGTTCAACGAAGGTTGCTGTTAACTAATAAGTACATAATAACAAATAATTTTGGTAGTAAACAAACAATAATTAAGGTAGCGAAAGTCAAAACTACATGTTTATATTTTGACCAAATCGCAAGTTGTATAGTCAAACCACACCCTTTGCATGTTGACCCACAAAACCAGTGAGTTAATCAGTTTATTAAAATACAACCCATCATGAAACGAGCAAGCCCAATGGAGTTTGACTCATTTTGACATCTGTA